AAACATTATGGTTAAATAACTCCTCAATTACTGTGAAACTTGAAATTGCTTTTGGCAACTTGGGATAACCAGACTTCCTGCACCAGATAGTCCTTGGGATGACGAACAGATGTATTAGGCTTTCGAGTTGATTATTTCTACATTTAAGATATTAGTTAACAGAATGAGGCAATCACATGTGAAAATATCTTAATTCTTGAAAGAGTTGCAACTCATGACTATATCTAGCGGACACTTATTAATTGTGAAGGACTAATTGATTGTAGAAATATTAAAGCACTTATTAAGTCCACGCGACCTCATTGGAAGGATGTCCTCTCATACATGGGAGCAATTATGACAACTTCTTTACACGGAAGCAATTAAATCCTGGTAGAGTTGCTTCTTCACAGTGATCAGAGAGATAATAAGAAAGTTTTGCCAGTTACTTATGGGTTAGCAGGGAGAGTCCTCTACAGTTTTGACAATAAGCTTAAACCATGTCTGATGTAGGCAATAAAATCTTCTTAGCATTCTCCTGCATGACTATGGTGATGTAGTGACCATCACTACCAGGATTTGTCTCTTTCTTATTATGCAAGATGAAGTTATTACCATTCACCACCCAGCTAATCGAAGCATGTCAGTAGATATGGTAAATAAGGGATTAAAGAAGATCTTAATACTATGAGAGAAATTGAGTCATCTAATGATGGATTTCTCAACTTCGTAGCAAGGATGGTTAAAGAAGATCTAATCATTTGGACAAGGATGGTTAGATCTAAGTTTATTTGAACTACATGAAAAAGAACAATGATGCAACTAAAGAAGCAACACCAACAATTCTTTTGGCTCCTGATAGTGATAAGCAAAGTTTGTTGACGCTCAATTTGATCATACCTAATTTCTTTACTAATTTGGACCTCAGGCTTTTGGGACTTTCTTACTTTCTGAGGATGATCTTAAGTTTGACAGATTTTAATTCTTTGGGAGGTATGTCCAAGCTTTCATCACTTTCTTTCTACTTTGATATTTCAAAATGCAAGGTCGAGCTTTTACTCTGTAGGAGAGAATGATAAATAAATAGGAATATCCTGAAATGAGTATATATCAATAATATGAAACATTTATATAATTATAATCTCTACATATTACTACGAGCACTTAACTTATTTAGTAACTATTGGGATAGGTTTATTATCAAAAAAGGACTTTTTTTCGTATTTAATTAGAAATCTTATTTTGTTATTTTTTTCCTGTTTAAGTATTATGGTCATATTAGCTATGTAGATACCCTATAATATAAATAGGTGATTCAACATTGTCAAGGCTAATTGAATTATTGATATTCTTTCACAGAATTAAGTGTTTAACAACCCTATAACTCTATAACTGTGGTTGTTGCCACTTACTATCATTTGTCAATAGTATTCATCTTTTCTGCTTTTCTTTTTCTCTATCTTTCTAAACTCTATTATTGGTGTGCTTCATCAATTTCAGTACCAAATGCATTGTCTTGTGCAAATTATTTTCTTACTATTGTAACCAAAGCCTCAAATTCAATACATGAACGTGAACCACCTAAAACAGTAGAGGCGTATGAGAAATATAAATGATTGGTAACTAATCTTGCACAAGATCTCTATTCCTCCAGAGAATAAGATTGGCACATGGTAACAACAATCCCAAATCTGTACAATGGTAAATAACATCTGGACCAATCTTCTGACTTACTATAAATCGCACTATTCAAACTTTCCATCCAAACTATTTGAAGAAGCGAAGGGCGGTAGCAAGAAAGTAGTAGCAGCTAAAAAAATAAAGGCAAAATGATTTTGCTATGGTTGGTGTAAAATGTTAAGTTTAGAACCATGGTCAGTATAATAATGGCGGTTGTGGGGGAAGTGACATAGTGCCACAGCAATCACAGCAACTGTTGTAGTATAGTGCCCCAGCATAGCAGCAGCCATGGTATCAGTGATAAGGGGTGGTAGATTGTACAAGCTTTGATGTAAGCACAAAATTTTTATGATCTGAAACTAGAAATGGTCACAGAAAAACCACATCTTAATCCTCATATAAAACTCAAGTTATTCGAGTTGGAACTTAGCTGTATGAAAACCCCCTTGAACTATAGACACGCAGATGCAGGCAGTCATTACTCTCAACTACAGTACTAACCCATTATTATCTACAGCTTGTAATTTTAACAAGAAAAAAGGAAGATCTTGCTGTATCCAAACTTCATCAGAATTGGTAGGCCATAATTTCCACGGGAAGATTTTTTCTGGCATTTTTGTTTGTTATGTTTGCTTTCGATTCCTCTACTTGACGATGTAAGGAAGATCTTCTTCTTTCTTATTCTTAGTAATATTTCTCTTTCTATCAAAAACAAGAAATGGGGAAGACATGGAAAAGTAATTGTCAAAATTATATACCATGCACGTCTAACTTAGGCGGATTAACGCTCTATAGCGTTCTATACTGAAGGGATCTATACAGATTAGCTTTCCCGTAAAAATATAAACAGGTCTATTTAATCAATAAGCTGACGCATCATTAACCAATCCATTATATATCGATAACGCTCCTCATTAGAAGTAAAAACAGAGTAGGGTAACAGTATCCTTGTCAACCCGAGACAGTTATACCTTCAGCAAAACCATCATCGTTTCACGGCAACCGTACCTTCAGGACAATGTGAATCAACTGCGCGAACACTGAACGTCCATATTTCACCATCCTGCGAGATAAAACTCGGAATATCTACACAGAATGGGGAAATTCGACTCTCTTAATATTTTCTTCTGAGTTTTCCTTTGCAATCGCCGCATAAATTACGAATTTAGCACGCTTACCTCCACTTTGGCTGAAGCAAAACCGTTTAGATCCCCCATGCGAATTTCGCTCCTCTTCATACCCGTTATAACCGCCACGCCAAAACAATTCTCCTCATTCAACCTCCTTACTCGTTCGATCACGGCTTCGTGCCACTCCCGCGTCCGGTCGCACATGTTCCACCTCGCGACTTCCGTGCCGCCGATCGAATAGTGCCTCGAGCTCGTCCAACCCGCAAGTACGAGGCCAGATCGTGCACACAATTTTTTTAGCCTGCGTGAGCTCCCGACACCGTTCTCCCTTCAGCTCCTCTCTCTCACCCCATCCACTCCGATAATCGCCTCCACACCATCCGGCGCTAGCGCCGGATGCATTACCTGGACAATCCTACTTCTCGGATCTTGTATTGCCGAGGCCTCAGAATGAAGCACGACATTATAACCGGCGGCTTCTGTTAATGATACGGCGACGTTTTAGACGGAAATACCGAGGCAGCACATTCTCTCAGTTAGATTTGTGGGAGTTGATACGGCTACCAGCCACGGCAGAGCCGAGAAAGGCATAGAGATGAGAGCGCGAACAGCATTTACTCGCATTTGCCCCAAATTTCCTAGGCGGGAAATGCTGCTCCTACCTCTCAAACGATTTTTCAAAAGAAAAAAAATCAGAAATTTAGCCAAATTTATTTTTAAATTCAAATAAGATGATGGATATTTTTCGTTGTATTAAATAAAATTGTTTCGTTAATCTATTAATTATGAATTATAAAAATACAAACATATTTATAATATATACAAAAAAAAAAATTACAGGTTGAATAACCGGTAAACAAATATTGCTAATATTTTTTAAAAAAATTAGAAATAAATGCTTCAAAAAATTTTAATAAAAAATATATCAAATAATTGAATATTGATAAAAAATATAAAATAAGAGAGTTAGTAAAGTCAATTAAAATTTAAATTTCTTTCACCTTGAAAAAAATATCGACAATTGATATCAGAGTCTTTATTGATTTTATGTATGTGAAAAAAAAAATAGACATAAAATAAATAAGTCAATAAAAATTTAAATTTTATTTAAACCTTATTAATAGGGTCTTTAATCGGATAGTCTAATTTATCCGAATCGGTGAGTGGTTCGAAATGTGACACGTGTAATGTGAGTGTATATTTTCCATTAGTTCTTTACAAGGTTTTCTTTCAAAACTTAATAAAGCTTAATTAAAACCACTAATTACATGCTAATTAAAATTTACATATAGCTGCCATACAAGAACAATGGAAATGATATAATATATTTTAATTTATAATAAATATATGAAAAATTATTTAATTATAATTATGAATATAGTTAAATAAACTAAAATAAAAACACAATTAAAGTTTTATTTGCAGAGTGCCTCTCTAGTAGGCGTATTATTATTATTATTATTATTTATTATTATTACTATTATTGTAAATGAGTAATTGTTACCTTTCATAATTATAATTTCTGTATTTTGAAAATATTTTTCAAGAAGACTATTAAAATAAAAAAAATATTTTTTATTAAAATAAAAGTCAAAATATATTAGGATAAATTTAAAAAACTAAAAATAATAATTTTAAAAATAGATTATGTATTCAATTTTTTTTTTTGAAAAATAGAGAAATTGTTAAGTTGAATATTTATAATGTTGTAATTATTATAATTAATATAATTTAATTACTATAAAATATTTTTTTCGTTTAAATATGTCAAAAAAATTTGTAGTTAAATTGAATTAAATTAAATTATCAAAATGTTATTAATATATTAAGAAATTAAAATATTTAATTTTATTAAATAAAATATTATAAATTAATAATTGTCGGGCAGTAAAAAATCACATATTTTTCACATGTTTGTTTTCTGGTAAATCAGGGAAGTGCGAAGTCGGTTGAAACAAAGGTTAAAAATGACTAACAGCCGTTGATTAGAGATTGCTGCGCCTAATGGGGTCCACATAAATTCCCGTAAGGCGCGAGCTCATCGCTGGGAAGGTATATTTTGAGGGGAGCACTTCGGACGCCGTTACAGTTTCCGCGAGGAACTTGCTGAGATAGAGAAAATGGCCACAACCCCAAGGCTTACTACCACCTTCTCCTCTTCTTCAACTCTCCAAACCCTCTGCAGACGGCTCCCAATTTCAGTCTCCCTCGCCTCCTCTCACTCTCTCTTTCTCTCACAAACCCTACCATGTCTTTCTCCTCAACGCCGCTTCCTTTCCCTTTCTCACCACCACCGCCACAACCGTCGCTTCACGCTTCGCGCCGAGTCCGAGAACGGTGCTGAGCCGTCCCGCCACTATGATTTCGACCTCTTCACCATCGGCGCTGGCAGCGGTGGCGTCCGGGCCTCTCGTTTCGCTGCTAATTTTGGTGCCTCTGTCGCCGTCTGTGAGCTCCCTTTTTCTACGATTTCATCGGAAACTGCTGGAGGAGTTGGCGGGACGTAAGTTGATGTTTATGTGTATGTGTTGTACTATTAGGAATGTGCTGCTCATGCATGAATATATACGTACGCGTATTTGTTTTTGTTCACAACCGTAGGATTTTTTGTTTGCTGCGTAATGACTATTAAGTTAGGGTGTGGTTTTGTGCCGAATTGGGATAGTCATTTCGAGTTTGGGGTGAAACTGCGCTAATCACTGGATTTTTTCAGTTGACTGTTTGGTCTCTCAGATACATGTGGTACGAATAATCTCGGTTTGGTTAAATTTCTATTCAGTTTTATCATATTCTTATACGTAATTGTTGAGAGAATTTTTTTTATAATATGATTGAGATAAATTAATACAAGTAGGATGGTTTGATTCATACATGAAAATGAAAATTATGTTCTAATTTTAGTTCCGAGAGTATTTGATTAATTAAACATGATTTTTTTTTAAAAAAAAAAAGTATAGTAAGATGCTCAAAGAGTAAAGAGGATGATCCTTAATAAACATGATTTTTTTTAACCAAATGAACTGTAAATGTTTTGAATTTGTTAAGAGTTAACTGGTTTCCTTTAGATTTCCTAGTTTTTTTAGAATAACTGTTTGTTTTTTCAGTTGATGGTCGTGGGGGGCTCCATGTTGTGCTCAAGAGGGAGTTGAGAGCAATAGGTTAAATATGTTTGAGGGCTGCTGCATTGCTGTTATTGCACTTTTTTTTTTTTGAAATTGTTTTCTAAGTACTTTATTCGTGCACAAAATCTTAAACTATTGAGTTTTAATCACTTTTAGTAATTTAGTGGTTTGGGATACCTGAGAATGATAATAACAAGCCAAGTACAGGACTGATTTTTCTGATATTCTGAAGTTATGTTTCACTCAACTAAGTTCCATAGAGGAACAAACTTGTGGATAAATTTTCTTTAGCTCTTGTTGTGTAGGTGTGTACTTCGAGGATGTGTACCCAAAAAGTTACTAGTCTATGCATCAAAATATTCTCATGAATTCGAGGAGAGTCATGGTTTTGGATGGAAATACGACACTGAACCAAAGCACGATTGGAGTACTTTGATGGCTAACAAAAATGCTGAATTGCAGCGTCTCACTGGTATCTACAAGAATATTTTGAAAAATGCTGGTGTTACATTAATAGAAGGTCGTGGAAAGGTGCGATTTTGCTGCAAGTTAAATGGTGTAAATTGTTATATGCTTCTATCTTTCCTGTGGTATTTTCCTTTCGATTTTTGTGTTATAAATTGTACCTATATCTTTCTCTCTCTCTAAAATCAAATTAAATTCCTAGTAACCATTTGCAGATTCTGGACCCACACACTGTGGATGTGGATGGGAAAGTATATTCAGCAAGACACATACTAATTTCAGTTGGGGGCCGGCCCTTTATTCCTGACATTCCTGGAAGTGAGTATGCTATAGATTCAGATGCTGCCCTTGATTTGCCTTCAAAGCCTGAGAAAATTGCAATAGTTGGTGGTGGCTACATTGCCTTGGAGTTTGCTGGTATCTTCAATGGTTTAAAAAGTGAGGTCCATGTATTTATAAGGCAGAAAAAGGTCTTAAGAGGCTTCGATGAAGAGGTGAGCCACTATAAAGAGCAGTACTTGCTTGTGTAATACTTTTTGAAACAAGTGATTTTCCTCAAATGAAAATGGCGACCGTTTACTTCTGTAGATCAGAGATTTTGTTGCAGAGCAGATGTCACTAAGAGGAATTGAGTTTCACACTGAAGAATCACCTCAGGCCATCCTTAAATCAGCAGATGGTTCACTGTCCCTGAAGACCAACAAAGGAACAATTGAAGGATTATCACATGTCATGTTTGCAACTGGCCGTAGGCCTAACACAAAGGTTGTTTCTATTTTACCTTTTACTTTGTTGTAGGGGGTTTAGACAGGGATCAACTGGTTCATCATTATTTCCTGAATGTTGTATTTGCATTTTCCACTGTGGTGAGATTAATGTTTAAGTAATCATAATTATTATGCTTGAAGATGGAAAGGATAAAATGATTAAGTGAGTGTTGAGCCTTTTTCCAATAGCATATTGATGTTGGACAAGTTAGGATTAATTTCTCTATTTAAGAATTTGGGAGTAAACACCTAGATATTAGACCTAGGATTTTCTAGATATCACATCTAAGTAGTTCTAACCTTATATGGGGAATGCAATCTGGGCATGACTTTGCAATGCAACCTCCATCTAAGTAGTTCTAACCTATCACATCAACCTTTATAAAGAGGATTGCAAACTTAAAAAGAGCAGGCAAAATTTCCTGGAATTATTTTGAATTTCAGAAAATCAATCTGGGCTGCTTGGTTTGATCAAACTCAATTAAAGAGGTCAAACAGAGCATGACTTTGCAATGCAACCTCGCGAATCACATGCATCGAGCTCACATGTTGGTTTCTGGTCACTGGATGGCGCTCAGGGTTATGAAAGTCGGTTCAACTTGAGACAGTGGTTGCAGCGGTATGAGATAGGGCTATGAGAAAAGTCCAAGAATGAAAGAAGTTGCCAAAATGCAGTGGCAAATGGTATTTTCTCTGATAGATTTTCACAGTGGGGCTGCTGCGGAGGTTCACTGATCGGGAATCTATGGTGCTGGCTATGTTGATCACCATACACTGATTGTGCTTGATTGCAGTTGGCGGCTGTTTGTTGGTTTTGAGTTTTTTCTATTTCTTTTTATGGATGGGCTACTTGGATATTGACTTTGCAATCTTTAGTTTAGGATTCTTTTAGATCTGCTACCAACTGATATAGGACATATTAGGATTTATTTGCCTACTTACAGATTTACTTAGAGATTTGGGGATGAAAAACTGGACATCACCTTTAGAGTTACTTGGATATCACATATAAATATTTTTAAGCACTACACTTAAAGGATTTTGTTACATAACACAAGAAGAAATTGTAAAATTCTCAAAGCATTTTACTGAATGGTTGAAGTTTGTCTCTAAATTCGAAATTACAAAGATATTTGTAATCTTCCTGAGTAATTTTTGCTAAATAGGCTTAAATTAAGAAATATTAATATTAATAAAATAGTTTTTTTTTTTTTGAAATAAACTAATACTAATAGAATAGTAAACAATACTACTAATACAAATAGGAAAACTAAATACCAATAAAGATATAATTCTGAAGTTACTAAAACTATAATAATAAGCTCCTAAACAGAACAGTATTCTTTAATAGAGTTATGATTTCTAATTTATTTAAACAACATAGAGCTAATCCATTCTGCATAATAGACTGTAGAAATTAGAGTCTTCTAATTTATTTTCCTGTAAATATCTCTCTGTCTTCTTACCAATAATCCTGATATCCTTAACGACTCCTTCACTAGTGCCGTCTGGAGAGCTAAAGTTCCCTAACTTTAAGTTTTTTGTTTGGATGGCTGCTTTGTGCAAGCTTTAAGACTAATGATCTGTTGTATGTCTGTAAGACAAACTTATTCTTAGGTGTATATTATGTGTTTGAATGCAGCAGAATTGTATAATCATCTATTTTTGCATTGCGAGGTGGCTTGAAGGTTTTGGTCTAATCTTTTTATTACTTTTGGCTACTGTTGGGTGGTTCCCCCATCCATTGATTGTTTCCTTTCTAGTTGCAGAGAGGTGCCATTGGTCCTTGCCTGTTGTGACCTCTGGCTTTATACTTTTTTTTCGTATCTTTAATAATTTTTTTCCATAAAGAAATTGTTGAAGTCAATGTAATTCTTCACTATCACAGAACCTGGGATTGGAGAACGTAGGGGTAAAAATGAACAAGAATGGGGCAATAGAGGTAGTATTCTTTACACCTAAATGTTTCCTTTGATCCATTTTCTGTGCCTTCTTGTTTTCAGTGCCTTCTCTTGTTTTGGTTCTATTGTTGTTATTTTCAGGTTGATGAATTCTCACGGACGTCGGTTCCTTCAATTTGGGCAGTTGGAGATGTTACAGACAGATTGAATTTGACTCCAGTTGCTTTGATGGAGGGAGGAGCATTAGCAAAAACACTATTCCAAAATGAGGCAACAAAACCTGATTATAGGTAACTTATCTATTTGGAGGTGGATGATTGTCACATGATCGTTTAATGAGATAAACATTGCAAATTATATTATACTATATAAATAGTTATTTGGTAGAGCTTTCTAAAGCTTGTAGGTACTTTTGGCAATTAGAGTAGAGTAGGACAGGTAGTTGAATGAGGCAGTAAGGCTTTTTCTTATAGTTACTTTAAGAACCTCATGAGCACTTTGTTCTTTATATCACCAACTGGGAAGATTGAAACAAAATGCTTATAAGTAGAAAATAAACAATCTCAGACACCTTTTTATCTATTGTCTTCATATTTTTATATAATCATAACCTCTAGTTATAGATCATTAATTATTTGAAATGCACATCAAGCATTGAACATTGAACCCATACCCACACCAGTATTATATTGTGTCTGATATGAGTATTGCACTGGTGAAAAAGGAAATTTAAGGATCGGAAACCAAAGGAAATAAAGCATCCTATGCATAGGGTAAAAGCTTACTTTACCCAACTCATATTAGTCACCAAACACTAAATATGTTAGTGTGAGACTCTCTTATCCTATTCTACATAGTGGACATATGATAGCTGAAGTTTCCATGTAAATTATTAGCAATGGAAATTTGATATAATGAAACGAAAAATGGTAGAGATCTAGTTTAATGTTTTGAAAACCGAGAACAGATGACTGCCTACTATTAAAAATTATATCCATAAAGTATAATCATAAGTTCTCCATTTGTCTCTAGAAAGGGGGATGAATTGGAGAACATAAGGCTTCTATGCCAATTAGGATCTTTCAAAAATGTGGGGGCAAAAATATTAGCATGGTTTTAGGAGGGACCTCTCATATAGATTATTAATAATAGTCATTCATTGTTCTGTCTGAACTTTTTTTCTTCCTGCCATATAGATATTTTGTGGCAGTTATTAGCTGTTCTGTCTAAGCTTTTTTTCCCTTCTAATATTTGGAGCAGTGCTGTTCCCTCTGCTGTTTTTTCCCAGCCACCAATTGGACAAGTTGGTCTTACTGAAGAACAGGTATATGTTTTGGTATATAGTCGCTGCAGCTGGATTAAGATCTCTCTCTGCTGCTTAATGTGTGAAGGATCTTTGCAGGCAATTGAAGAATATGGTGATATTGATATCTTCACTGCTAACTTCAGGCCTTTAAAGGCAACTCTCTCAGGGCTCCCAGATCGGATCTTTATGAAACTTATTGTCTGCGCAAAGACAAACAAAGTTCTTGGTGTACACATGTGTGGAGAAGATTCACCTGAAATTGTGCAGGTTTCTGTACCAATCCCCAATTTCTGTGTATATCAAGATTATGTTTGCTAGATGTGTAGCTCATATGAATGTATAATTATCATATTCCCAGGGATTTGCTGTTGCTGTGAAAGCTGGCTTGACAAAGGCAGAATTTGATGCCACTGTTGGTGTTCATCCAACAGCAGCTGAGGAGTTCGTCACTATGCGGTCCCCCACTCGTAAGCTAAGAAAGAGCCCCCCATCTGAGGTTTGTCAGAAACATCAGTCTCCTGAATTTGCACCATAAAGGATGGTTTCTTGAATTTTGGTTTGGTCCACTATACTAAGTTTGTGGAATTTAAATAAGTCCTCCTTTTGGTACATGGAAATATTTTTTAAATTTCATTTTTTTTGCACTAACATGAGTACATAAAAATTTCTGATGATTGAAGATAAGAACACTATTTGGAAAATGAAATGAAAATATGGCATGAGCTTGAGAATAATAAAAGTTGCTTCATTCTCTCCAATGTTCTAATCCCTCCCCACTTTTTCTTCTCTTTTAGTGAGAGAAAATCCTCTTTTTGGTCTTTGGCCTAGCTTTTCCTGGTTGAGTAGTTCTTTTAGCAATGCTGTTTCTCTCCCTAAGGAAATTCTTGGTGATGGTGCTCAAATCCATTGACATTGTGTTGGAAGGAGAAATCTAGGACACTCTTTTATCAATGAAAATCGCATTAAGTTTTCTGGGTACTTCTTCAATTTGTGATTAGATGCCTTTTCAGAGCCTTCTGTGAGTTCTTTTGGACAAGAGCCTGTAACTCATGGAGAGACAATTTCGGGAAGTAAATCACACCCTTACCTTTCCTTCAAGAGGCAGGTTTCTTGAACTCAGAGCAAAACTAGGAAGATCATTGTTTCCAGAAGGCACTGGAGCAGACAGATGGCGGAGTTTCTTCTCAGTGGTTTGTGCAGTTTTGCAGTCTGAAACATGAACAAGGGAGGAAGTGGTTGAAGACCGTGTATAGTTAGATAAAGAAAGCAGAGGTAGAAGCAAGGAATCTAAATCCAAGCCAAATGATTCAGCATCCTAAGGAGTGTGCTGTA